GGCCTCGGGCAGCGTGGGACGCCCCTCCGGGAGCTGGGCACAAGCGCAGCACAGGCCTGGCAGGAGCCCTGGGGTCTCTCCCTGGCCCACAGACGGGAGGGGAGGGGACCGAACAGCTGTGAGGTCAGGGGTAGCGCAGGGAGGGTTTTGTTTCCCTTTTAAAAGCTGCCTTTCACTTTGTGCGAACGATGGGTCCTTTTAAACAGTGTGTTAACCACAAGCAGAAATGGAGTAAATGAGAGGGGAGGGGAGGGGCTCTAGGGATGGGAGATCAAGTCCCAGGCCCCCGGCCCCCGCAGGTGCCTGCCTGGCCACACCTGGCCCCTCCTGCCCCCCGGCACCTCTCACCGTCTCCCAGCCCAGGAACCTGTTTAAGCAGCAGTTTGGTGTCACTGTCTCTCTTCTGGGGACCCACAGGGAAGGGTGGCCAGGGCAGGCGGCCTCAGACACACAGGAGGGGAGGGGAGAAGATGGGGGGACGCCTGGACCTGACACACCGGGCACCAGCCCAACAGGGCCCGAGGAGGCTGGTCCCTCTCGTGGTCTTGACCCCCCGCCTGGGGCGGCTGCCCTGCCCTCGCCCCGTCCCCTGCTACCCTGGAGCCAGCCGGCTCTTCCTGGGCCCATTTTAGCCGCCCGTCCCTGGCAAAGGAAACCACAGGAGGTGGCCGAGGCGGCCACTGTCCCTCTTTAGCCAGAACCTGAGAAGAAGCGGCCTCGGCTATATATACTCGCGGAGCAAACAGGGCCGGCTGGGGCTGTAAACAGCGCTGGCCGAACCCCGCCGGCCCGTTAGAGGACCTAAAAATACTCCCCATAATTATGCTACTAACACACACCAGAAAAATCGACCCACCCCACGCAGCAAGGCTCCCGGGAGGGCGGCGGGAGAGCGGGAGGCTCACACGTTGCCCGAGGGGCCTCGGTGTTGCCCTGGGGGCCGGGCTGGCCGGACGGCTGCCCACTGCCCGCGGCCCCTCGCTTCCCCCGGGCAGTCGGGTCCCCTGGTCTACAGATGGGAAGGGACCCGGGGACACCTGTGCAGGGGAGGGAGCACCAGGCCGCGGTGCTGCGCGTGGCCCCGACTGGGGGAGCAACCCAGATGTCTGAGAGGCGGAGTACCCAGTCACTCGGGGCCGCCTGCCGCGCACAGCGCCGTGGCGCCGTGGCACTCGCGGACAAGCCCGCTCTCACCGAGACGAGAGAGACACGCCCGGACATGGCACACCGGCCAGAGCCTCCTTCTGCAAACCAGGGGCGCAGAGGGTTAAAGGGTTAGAAAGGGAATTGAGTCTCATCTAATAGTTCACATTTTTTACAAAAAGTACTTATGTGTTATTCGTATAATTAAAGCTAACTACACATTAAAGCAAGGGGGATCCAGCCTCCAGCAGAGAGGCTGCTCCGCGGGAGGGGACGGCTCTCCCTGCCCAGCCCCCACCCAGACTGCACCCTCGAGTCACCCCCGAAACCCCTCCCACGGCGCCCCACCCCCGGGCCACCAGCTTGGATCCTTCCCGAGGCTCGAGGGCCTAAGGGAGGCTGTGCGGCGTGGGGCCATCCACCTGCTCCCCCTGCCTGGCTGCCCACCCCTCGCTCTGGCCAGACTGGCCTCCCCGCCCCCATGCACACCTCTCCCCAGCACCCGGCTCTGTGAGGGTCTCTGCCCGCCCAGCGCGTGGCACTGTACCCACCCCACCTGCCCGCTTCCCTGCACCTGTGGGGGAGGGTGCTGTACCCCATTTTGGATGGTGGCGTTGGGGGACCCCATTTTGGATGGCACCGTTTGTTGCACTTTCTTTTCCCGCCTGTGCTCAGCAATGGCTCCCGGAACTGTCAGGCCCAGGCCTCCCTTTGCGCCTGGTGAGCGGGAGGGCCGTGAGCTCTGCCCCCAGCGCCCACCCCACTGGCCCTGGCCCAGAACTCGGCTCCACCCAGAGCTCCGTCCCCCAAGCCCTGGACGAGAGAGCAAGTGAATGAACTGGCGCACAGGAATCTGTGCGGGCGGGCAGGCGCGGTGCGCCGGAGCAGGGCTGCAGACACCCTTGGGGACACGTTCTGCGCGGAGCGTGAGGACGGCAGACGGCCCTGCCAGTCCCTCGGAGGCCCCCCCTTCCTGGGAACCACCCTGTGTGCTCAGGGGACCGAGGGTGGGTGGCCCCGTCCACTCAGCTCCCCAGGGGCCCGGCCCAGCTGCTGACCGCCGGCGCCTGGGTCCGCGTGCGTGCGGCACATCTGGGAAAGTGTTCTGGGCTCCTGGTCCCGGATCGGATCGTGTGAGGAAGTGCCGCCGTGGGAGGGCTGCCCCGCCCTGCTCCGCCCAGGCTAGTGTGAGACCCAAACCCTGGGAGACCTTGGGAGCAGCTGTTTCGACTGTTCAGCTTTTATGGTCTCATTAAAAGCCTCATTTACAGGGGACAACACGGGGCCCCAGAGAGAAGGGTGAGGGCCTGGGGACCTCAAAGCAAGACAGAGGCTGCCTCCTCTCGCACACCCCTCCAAGTCTAACCCTCGACCTCCCCTCCCAGCCTCCTCCCTCTCTGTCCTCCCCACGACCTTCTACCCCAAGCGCTCCCAGGTTCGATACCTGCCAGAGCAGGTGCGGGACCCACCCACCCGGGGAAGGAAAAAACCTCATCCTGGGCTTCTCACTCCCCCCCCACCATCATCCCAGACAAGTGAATCAACTTCCCTAGCCCAGACTCCTAATCCAGAAAATAGGCTAAACGCTGCTCTCCGAGGCTGGCAGAGGAGGTCAAAGGTAAAGCGTGGGACAGCAGATGGCCAGCGCAGTGGCTCCCGGCCGTAGTCCCAGCACTTTGGGAGGCTGAGGCAGGAGGATCGTTTGAGCCCAGGAGTTGGAGGTTGCAGTGAGCTGTGATGATGCCACTGTGCTCTACCTGGGTGGCTGGACGAGACTGTCTCAAAAAAAGAGTGGGATGTAGGACAGCAGGCATGGGGGATACAGGGGTCCTGCCCCCCAATCCCCTCCAGGAGACTCAGGCCCCCAAGGCCGGCTGGGGCCGAGATGGGCAGGAGCTGCAGTCACGGCCACTCTAAGAAAAACACAGGACCGAGGTTCAGCGAGTGCCCGTGCCCAGCAGGTGAAGCTACAGGACACCTGTGCCACCATGTTACCTGCTTCTGCAATGCCTGGACTCCCTCTCAAGAGGAGATACAAAGTGCTTTAGTATCCAGAAGAAAAAATATATACAAAGAAGCGAATGTCTAACTATATATTTCTAAAATAGCCAAAGACCAACATCTTGTTGAATTGAAAAGGGGGTTTTCTGAGGGCCAGAGTGGGTTCACCCTGGGCCCTGGGGATAGAAGTGGCAGGGGAGGACACCCTCCACCCATCCCAGAAGCAGGCGGGGGCAGAGGAGGCCTGTCAGCGTGGGGATGGGGCCTATTGCCCTCCATCTTTCAGTACAGAAAACAGAATTAAAGCCACGTCAGCACAGAAGAGACGCCGCCCAGGAAGCAGCCTCGGGGCCAGGATCAGAGACGGGGCACCTCCGCCCACCCCCAGCAAAGACACTTCCCCTGAAGTTCCCTCTGCGCTGGGTCCGAGGCAGGACAACCAGTCACTGCTCCTGGGCAGGCGCCGGCCCTCCCTGACACGCACACACGTGCACACACGTGCATACTCGCACACGCAGCCCTCGCTACTGGGAGCCGGGAGCCCCGCCCGCCGGTCCAGGCGCTGATGCTCGGGGCAGGCGGCACCGCACCCCCGCGACCGCCGATTCCAGGTGCTCTTCCTCCCAGAGACACCGGCAGAGCGTGGCCTCGGAGGGCACAGACCCCAGCACAGGCCACTTTCTAAGGGTGGCAAAGCCGGGTTCTCCCGAAATCCCTGCGACTCAGCCCGCGGGGCGGGTCTCTCATCT